CTGATTCAGAAAATTTAAAATCTGAAAAAAAAAAAAAAAATATATATATATATATATATACACACACAAAATATCAATAGCCAATTGCTGAGTCATATTAAACCTGGAGAGAGCAGATTGGTTGAGTGCAAGTAGAGGTTCTCTTGCTGTGAATTTGGATGCCACGGAGCCAGAAATACAGGATGTAAGTGCTAGTGAACAAGAAGCTAGTGGAATTGGAATTCCACAGACAGACAACCAACCAAACTAGGGGTACTAATATTGCATCAAGCAATAGGTGGAGGCCAATGTCTTTTAAGGCAAGGTTAGAGCTTTTAAAGGGATGCATGTATCAATGATGAAGCAGACGAAGAGATTTCAAAGTTCTGAATTCAAAATTAAAATTGAGAAATGTTATAGATGATGTGTGGTGATTACTTGAGAATTTTGATAGATTCATTAAATATAGATTGTTTAGGCGCATCACTACCAAATGCATCCCAAAGCCAATATTTCCTCCTTCCTCCAGTTGGGTAGCAAAGGAGAAAAGTGGGAATAAGGCAACGCAAAATAAGTCACCTGCTAGGAATTCACCTTCACTTAGTGATCCCAATGAGCAGCTAAAATCCATTCCTAGAAATTTCATCTCAACCATTCTGTTCGATTTATGATCCCACTATCATATTCTTTTTTCCTTTTTAAGATGGCATGTAAGAGAGTTTTTGGAAATTGGAGGAAATGAGATTTCAAGGTGTGTTAAATTTCATCACGTGAACAAATAAATGCTAAAGCTCCATACTGCAGGATCTAATTTATTTCAGCTGTACTTGTACTATTCCACAGAATCCACACTGAAGGAATGAGTAAACAAACTAACTGCTCCCCCTTCCATGAAAGAAGAAAAAGGTTTTGAAAGGAAGGTTGGGGAAAAGAAAAATAAGATATACTCGTTGATCATCCTAATTCTGAATGAGGTCATATTATGAAATAGAACTTTGTTAGAATGCCATTCAACCATAAGATATTGAACTTGTTACAAAAATCAGATTCTTTAGAGTTGCAAATTCTCAAAGCAAATTACTAGTGCGTGACCATAATAATACTTGCCATTGACCACATCTTTTGCCTCGTGATGAGTTAGCAAAGCTCTTTTACTAGTCGTGGTTTCAAGAATAATATATTATAAATGTTCACTTTGTTAATCAAAGAAGAACAAAATATAAAGATGTACTTCTGCTTTATAAACCTTTGGTGCTTTTCCAGAATTCATAAATTTCTCTACTGAGATATCAACGTTTTCAATACTGTTGCTGAATTTGGATTCTCCAACGAGGTTAACTGACTGCGACGGCCTGATGAACAAACCATGGCTGCAAACATCAAATCAAAATTAAAAATAAACTGAATAACTTTGAGCAATGCCTACATGTGTTTACACATACGCTAATATTATACACAAACAGAAGTCAACTATTGAATTAAAATACAGTTCGAGTCGCAAAACAGAGAAAAGAAAACTGATAAACCCCACAAAACAGAGCACAATCAACACAAGCTATTAAATCACCAAAAAATCAAGAACTCACATCATAAACAGGAAGAAAAGCCACTGAATTATTACAAATAAATAGCATAGCAAAGAAAATTTCACATAAACGAGAAAGGAAATGCAAAAATAAAACAAACCTTGATTACAACTGTTCCAGACTTCAAGTAATTCAGCCTCTATAGCCGCAGAAACTCTTCTACGTAAAATAATAGAAAGACCCTAACATATAATTAGCAGAATATATCAAAAT